ATCCTTGATGCATACTCATCAAACTACGGGAAACATGTTTAAAAGAAGTTAATAAAGTGATCCGAATGAAGGTTGGTTTTTATGAAGATACCACTCGAGTAAATGGGCTTCAAAACATGTGAATTTGTTTTTCTTCATCGACTCGATCTAGTGGAGGTCAAGGGGAAATCCCTCTCGTCTTAGTAACTTTTTCTTTGGCCAATTTTCTTCAAAATTTTCAACTTCTTCATTCTTGCTTTGATCTTCAAGAAAATTGAACCACAACTCACTAGCATCATCTCAAGCACGATCCAATCTTCAAATACCTTGCAAATCATCCAAAACAACGTGAAAAGAAGATTCCACCAATCTACATAAACTGTCTCAAAGATGTAAAAATGCATGAAATATAACACCTATATGCAATGCAATTGACTAATTAAGATAAACATTCCAAAAGATGAATCTAACAAATATATTTTGATATCTATAAAAAAGTATGTTTATATACCCATCTTGTGATACAAATGTATATTGATTTGGATTAATTTAGAAATTATAATGACATCTATCTAAATATCTAATAATTATACAGGTGTCAATCTGAAAATTGAAGTGTGTCTATCTAAAAAATGATATTTTTTTTCAAATCGTCCATGGACGCTCTTTACATATGTTAATATGTATATCTTATCGACCTTTTAGAGATGGTTCGGCCATTTACCAACGGTTCGATCGTTTTCCTATGATTCAGCCATTTCCCGAAGGTTCAACCACTTTCCTATGGTTCGACTATTTTCCTATGGTTCAACCATTTCTCGACGGTTCAACCATTTTCCTATGGTTCGGCCATTTCACGACCATTCGGTCGTTTTACCATGCTTCGATCGTTTTACCATGGTTCGATCGTCTGACCATGGCGCGTTCGTTTTACCATGGTTTAGTCGTTTTGATGGGTTCGGTCATCGGTAGTTCTTGATTGCTCTTTCCTAAGACAAGAAGTACTCCTATAACCTCAAGTACAACTCACGTTTACCTTCCCAATGTACAACTGTTAGCTTCTTCTCCAAGGTTAAGGTAATACCCCTGAACACACATAGATAATCAGCAGAATAAGCTATAGAGCTCTTCTAAGAGCTAGCTCTCTCTCTCTCTCTTCTCTCGCTCTCTTCTCTCTTCTCTCTCTCTCTCTCTCTCTCTCTCTCCCTCCCCCCCCCCCCCCCTCTCTCTTTCTATACATCATAAAATCAGGCTCCTTCCACTCAAAGGACCCGGTTCACATTTCGTATCGATACTAACTTGACCGTCAGAGGCCACTCCCGGGACGCAAGTCTTGGGGAGACTAACGATTCTCGTTTATGATTGTAATAGGAATCAAATCGGGGCTCGCTAGCGGCATCGAAACACATATCCGAGATCTCGACTTGGTCAACCTTGTGACGATTCCTGGGTTACATCAACATCCATGTAGCTTCGCGCTTGTTTATACTCATTTCAACAGGTATCTTTACCTTATAAATCTTATCAATAAGACCATTTAAATGAATGTGTTTTAAAGATAGGCCTTATATTTGTACCATATTCATTTGAAACCTACATAACTCTTCATTTTCACCTAATTAATAACAACAATTCAAGAGTTTTTATAACTTATGATAATGGTACTAATAAAACCAACTGAGTAGTTTCTTGGCAGATTAAATACTTCAAACAAAAAGATTAAATGTGGATAAATTATATGAAGGATATGATGTGAAGATGCATGTGAGACACATGCAATTATTTTCTAGTTTTCCATGGAAGTTTTCTACAATTGTATTAGTATTATTATTATTATTTTCTTGGCATAATTATGTTGTTTATTTTTGTACATTGTCCATTTTACCAAGTCTTCTAAAATATATGAAGTGTAATAGATATGTAACATGACTATATATTTTATGAATGTTGTTTGTTATCTTTTTTTTATTCCCTATAAAACTATTACTTTTAATGTATTGAGTGAAGAAGAGTGTTAGGCTAAAATTATATATATATATATATATATATATATATATATATATATATTCATTTTATATACATATAAAGAAAACAACCAAGGAAAGAAAAAGGCGAACCCGTAAACTAAATTTCCGAAGTTCTATTGAATCAAGCAAAATTTGAAAATATATATGTATGAACTATTCTTACGATTGTCGAATGACATGAACACCTTTAGGTTAATTATATGTTACTTTTTGTATAAGTTATGAGGCTTCTAGTTAATTATCAAATAATTACATATTTTTATTTTTATTTATAAATATTATACTAATATGTTTTATTTATATTAAAGTGTTTCACATTGTGCCAAAAGTTTACAAAATGAATACAAAAATATTGTTTTTTGAAGCCCTAAGTTTGGATTTTTATAGCAAAAAAGTGTAATTGTGTTTATGGGCCTTCAATAGTTTTATTTGAATTTGTTTTTCTTATAGTTTTGCATTTGGTAGTGTTTTAGACATTATATATAATAATGATGATAAACCCATTACTTATACAACAGTTTGAAAAGTTGATTTCTTCGAGAAAACTATATAATTGATTCTTTTAAAGCGACGTAAAAAATATTAAAAACAGACTTGAAATTTTACTTTAAATATCATATCCGAAATCTGTAGAATAAATCTGAACAAAATAGGAAAAACTGAAACATATGAAAAACAAAGTATATTATAGATATCATTTTTCTTTAACAATATTCATTTAAAACTCCCAAAACTTTTCAACTTATTTTTTATTAATAGATTAAGCTCATTTATTATTCTAATTTCAATATTAAAAGTAAAATAATAAAATTAAAATACTTAACTCATTTTTTAAAACTTAATCTAAACATTTTATTTTTAATGCTATAATATAATATACTTACATTGTTAATTTAAATATATTTTTAAAGTAGAAACATAAATTAAAATGTCAAATAAACAAAAAAAAAATTTCAATTACTAATTATAAAAATAGTTTAAATTTTTTTAATATAATATTAAATATAAAATCTAAATGGAAATGCTACATTAACAAACAAAACGACTTATTACTTATACAATGTTATAAATAATAATTATGATTAATCTACTACTTATAAAATAGTTTAAGAAGTCGATTTTTTTTAGAGAAAGCTATAACCGATTCTTTTAAAACTACGTAAACAAATATTAAAAAGGACTTCATATTTTTACTTTGAATATCATACCCGAAATCCATGAAATAAATCAAAACTGAAATAAGAAAAAAATGATGCATACTAAAAGCAAAATAGATTATGGATATCATTTTGCTTTAACAATATTCATTTAGAAACTTCCAAAAAATTTCATCTCTTTTTTCATTAATACATTTACCTCATTTATTATTTTAATTTCAATATTAAAACTTAAAAATTCAAATTAAAATACTTAATTCATTTATTTGAACTGAATGTAAAATATTATATTTTTAATGTTGGAATGTAATATACTTATTTTGTTAATTTAAATATAATACAAAAAATGAAACATAAATTAAAATGTCAAATAAACCTAAAAACATTGGTCTAAATAACCAAAGAATCACAAACTCTCAAGAGATTTTTAACTTATATCTTATAATTAGTAAATACTTAAATTAATATAATAGAAACTATGAACAATTTAACAAGTTTTTACTAAATGACTTTTTACTTATTAATATTAAATTAATTGTCACAAATATCATTCATATTATTTGATTTAATTTGTATAAGTGTTAACCATATATTATCTTATAAGTACGGTTTAAGAGTAAAAATTTTTTTTTTTACAATTTATGTCATTCATGGTTAATGACATTAACTTAAATAATTTTAATGTTTGTTATTATCTATATAAATATATTTTTGCGCATAGGGATTCACTTGGTTTAATTATGTTGTTTGTCAAGTCTACAACCATTCTATCATTGTATTTATTTATGTTGTTTTCCAAGTGTATAACCCTTACCAATGATAAATATGTAAGATATGCATCCTCATTTAAATATTTACCATACCCATACGAGTAATATTATTTACGATTTTCATCAACTATTTAATGTTGCGAACCGCTACTCATATAGTTAGATGGTGTATGGTGTCGGTGGTAACGATAGGGACGGCCTATCGACCTTGCATCTCAATGACTCTTGTTTTGGAGACCGTAAGCGCGGGCAGAAGATCCTCATCAACAGCATTAAATTAAATGCATGCAAATGTCTATCAACCATGTAACCAACTGTGAGATATATGTCGTTCCTAATGATTAATTAAAGTGATTAACTAGTTAATTAATTAATATAATAAATAACATAATAAACTAATTACGTAATCTATTTCGAGAAACATAAAGATAATCTTCCACACACTCATGTAAATCATCCATGCAGTGGCCCTCTCAGTTTCACATCCCTGTCGTGTATGGCCTTAGAAAAAGTAAAAGTTTCATACATCCATATCGTGTATGGCGTTACTCGACTTGTAAGTATGTAGCTTAGATGGATCATAAGTGGGTCTTCATAGTTTATCGAAATATCCAACAATGAACAAAAACATATTCTCCTAAACAGCTCTATACAAGCATTAAACACTCTCACCTTGATCTCTTTGGCAATAGAGATCTCGGTTGCCTCATAATTACCACCATTATGTAATTTAACACATCACAAAAGGTTAGGGTTTCTTGTTACATTAGATTGTTTTGAATCATAATCCTAGGAAAATTATGTGTTCGTTTAAGAAGATATACAACCACATTGATGTCCAAAATCTTAATAATCAAAACATAAGTTTCGATAAACATCAAAATATGCAAAAAGGGCTTAGGATTTATAAATATTTTAGGGTTTTCGCCATATATCATCTAGCTAGAAAATCAGTAAACTACGAATTTAGTTAAATGTTTAACGAGCAAGAACATATTCAACATACAAAACAAGAACATAATAATCATTCAACATGAATTTAAGCAAAACCTCAAAAAATATTAAGTAGCACAAAAATCCAATCTTTTACAATCTTACCCTTGACGCATACTCTCATGAAACTAAAGAAAACATGTTTAAAATAACTTAAGAATGTGAACGAAATGAAGGGTATAACCGGAAAACAAAAAAGCAACCTATCTATCTAATCTATCTCCAACCCATATTATTACCCATACCTTGTGGATTGCTATTATTACTCTGTCCAACTCCAACTGGGCTCCCCAGCCCACCACCTGAAGACTCACTCAAACTCAAACTCCCCCCAGACACAGGGTGGTTCGCCGGAGCATTCACAACTTCAGCTTCATTATTATTATTATTACCTTTTCCTCCTTTCACCTGTCTCTGACTCGCCGGAATAAAACTACCAACAATCACCTGAACTGGCGTGGCGGCAGTCAGAAGCCCCGCCACGTTGCCGCCCAACACCCGCCCATCTGGCCCAGATAACGCCACACTTAGCCCACCGGTTCTACTCCGTTGACCATCTTCACTTTCAGACGCCATGAATGAACCAGAAAGTGACAGGATCTCAAATCTTCCCTGTAATATTGAAGTAAAGATGAGTTTCAAGTTTCAACTTTGAATGAAATTACTTAAATGACCTTTTGAGTTTTGATGGTGACACTGACAGACCTCATAGGTAACTGTGCCACCAGATGTTGCTGTTTGTTGAAGTGTGATGTTTGATATTGAACCGCTTGCTGATAGAATGCATAGAGCTCTTGTGCTGTTTTGAGAAAACCATACAAGTTTTGCTAATACATCCTGTATACAAAATACATTAAGAGTTTCTATTAATGAAATATAAAGAAGAAAGAGAAAAAAGGATCATAGATGTAGCCATGTAGGTACCTCTCCAGATTTCACATCAAGAATATGTGGCATGAATCCTGCTCCAGGTAAACCTGAAAGTATGATTTGAATCTTGTTGAATAATCATGGAGATTTCACTTTTCGATAGTCTTTAATCTTGAATTAAGAATATAATTAGGGAATTGAAAGGAAAAGGTGCTTAATTTGGAAGATAGTGCTTAAAAAACTCTGGTTTACCTTTTACCCTTTTGATAACGTTGGAAAGAGATAAAGATAAAGAAGAATATGGAGGAAAAAAACAAAGAAAATGTGAAAAATTCAGTGTAGCATATCATCCTCTGATGTTATTTTAATATGTACACATTCATGATTTCATAAAAATCTATTAACTTAATCACAAAGCTAATAAAATAAAGATCTGAAAGGGTAATATAATGTGCAAAACGTGAAATAAAGTGTTGATGAAAACAATGAATAAATAATTGTATCTACGTATGAGTATGATCTGAATCGGTATGTATATAAGCTTATAGCAATGTACCTGAAGCAGCAGGCTGCTGTTTATTTCCAGAACCCGGAGGTCTACCCCTTGGTCTCTTCCCTGAAGAAGGTACCGGAGATGAGAAGTCACCGGATTGTCCTGCCGCTGTACCATGCAGTGCCGCCGCCGGAGGCGTAGAGCCATCAGGCGCGTACTTTCTCGGCCTTCCTCTCTTCCGCTTCACTACATCGTTTCCATTGACATTGATCCCTGTCGTAACTGCTAACGCGTAATTGTTTTCACCAGAATCTCCGCCTCCGCCGTTGCCGTTAGGGTTGTTGTAATCAGGCGTTGGTGACGGCGACGTAGGTTGCACAATATGTGTATATGACGGCGTTCCGTCGGCGTTATATGTTAATCGGATGTTGTTCATCGCTGATGCTTCGTATGACATGATTCCTTCGTCTCTGTTATAAGTTCAAACTAATAAACCCTGTGATTCAACTGCAAAACCCTAAAATTTAAGAGATCAATCGACGTTTACACATTCAGATTCTCTTCATGATCTCGACATCTACTTCGAAAATTTCTTTTGAATTACTGAAAATCTACTGAAATTTGAATGAATTTGAGCCTTTGAGGTAAATAAAAAAGAGAAAATTATCACAATTCACAAAATTTTCATTCGTTGAATTGTTGATAATAAGAAAAAATTAATTTAAAAGGGTTTAACAAAAAAAAATTAAAAAATTTGTGAGATTGTTAATTAAGAAAGTAATATTTCTAGGGTTTCTTTACACACGCCGTGATAGTCAATTATATATTCCAACCAGAACAGTGATGTGGCATACTGTAAATAAACATTTAATTGCTTATAATAAATTTTGATGCATATTAATTTATTAATTAAAATATATTAAAAGCTTTCTTGTGGATTCCGAATGATATTGTTATAATATTTGTAATATTAAAAGTTAATAATGATTTATTCACAAAAATATATATGATTTGATAACTTTAACAAACATGACATAATTTCCTTTTTCAAAATTGGTTATTTGTATTATAATTAGATTGATATATAAAATTATATAACTTGATAGGATTATAAAAAATAAGAATAAGATCAAGTATTTGAAATCAACCACAGGAAAATAAATATAGTTTTCTTGTGGATTCAGAATGATATTGTTATAATATTTGTAATATTAAAAGTTAATAAATGATTTATTCACAAATATCTATATATCTTATATCTATATATAATATATATATATATATATATCTATATATAATATATATATATATATATGATTTGATAACTTTAACAAACATGACATAATTTCCTTTTTCAAAATTGGTTATTTGATTATATTAGATTGATATATAAGATTATATAACTTGATAGGATTATAAAATAAAAGAATAGATAAGTATTTCAATCAACCACAGGAAAATAAATATAGTTTGCTTAATAACCATTACATATTGAATCTATATATTTTGGTAATATATATCTATTTATATATATATATCTTATATATATATATATCTTTATCTATATATATATATATTATAGATATAGAGAGAGAGAGAGAGAGAGAGAAGTTCCGTTGAGATTAAAAATAAAATGGAGATCTTGGGATTCGACCTCTGCCACATATTTCAAGTCTGTCGCTCTAACTCTCTGGCGTACCGGTGCGGTAGACATGTTATAATCATAAATGATTATATAGCGCCGTCCGTTCCTTTCTCCTCCGCCACCATCCCCACCACCACAACCGCCACCGCCACCACCACTACCATCACCTCTGACACCAGCTGACCCCACCACTGTCACCTCCGTCACTTATACCACCGCCACAGCTGTCACTACCACCTTTTATGTCATCAACTGTCATAATCATATATGATTACTCAGTCTGTGAACAAACATATATGTATAATCATTTATGATTAAGCATACACTGTTGTCGTCGGTACACTGGAGCGTTAGAGCGCAAATGAGAAATATATGGCTCGGCTTGAATCTCAAGATCACTATTTTTTTTAATCTCAAGTGAACCGTCCCATATATATATATATATATATATATATATATATATATATATATATACTAGAAAGGTTTGAGGCCCGTGCTAAGCACGACCCACAGAGGGTAATTTAGGTTTTTTTTAACAGTAGTTTATAATAATTGTGCAATAACCAAAAAATGTGAAAGTACAATGTTATAGATAGGTGGATTTTCAATTTACAATGCACAAATAAGAAAAAGAAAATGAAAGTATATTGTTATAATCAAAAAATAAATAATAATCCTTCGTGATACCCTGGGATAATGATTTCAGCTTACGGAAATCCTATAAGCATCATTTTTTGTTCAATATACGGATATTGGGATTACACATGAAATACCATGTTTAGGCCACTTGTTCCTTGGTTGCCCATTGATCTTTATTGCGACGTCCACTACTTCTTCATTCGACATGACCTAAAACATTTAGCATGAATTTAAAGGATTTGAGACTTTAAAAGCTTTTTTTAAAAAAAAAACTTGCAACTGTCAGAACATAATACACAAAATAACTCGAGCATAACTTTTTAGGAGGCTGGAATACAAAATTAGAAAGATCAGAAAAAGATGATACAGTGTGACGACCTAGCGCCTGGTGTTGAACCCGCCCAAGTCAGATGGTGGTCAATGAATTCACAATTCCCTAATGAGACAGAATGAACAAAAATTCTGCACATTTAAGCTAGTTGAAAAGGTAAATTCCATCATAAAGTAACTGAATAAGGTTAAGTCATTTGATCACTACTTTTAAGAAACACATGAAATGTTGAATCATTGGCTTCAAAGAGTTGTACATTTATAAATTAGTTTATAAATACCTCCACACCTGCAACACTTTGGTCACAGTAATGAAATATGCTTGCTGCACATAACCATCCATAACTACAACATAATGTGAGATCATTGTATATTTTTAAGGAACAAGTGTTATACAAATATGTAAGTAAGTATTTTGAAGTACGTCTTATTGTAATTTCCAAGAAAGCTTCATGGTTGCGTATGTGCATAGCAAACCTGTTGTAATGCTCTACTCAAAGACCAAACTAAAAAAGTTTCAATTTTATACTAAATATGGTAAAACCGAAAGGAAATGGATCATTTTTGTAATTTACCTACATATTAAGTACAAACTTACTATTTCCCATAACTTCAAGTTTTTGTAACTAGCTTAATCGGCTTGCTGAATAAAAAAAGAAAGCTGGATGAAAACATCCTACCTTTTGAACAACAAAGTTAAAAAAAAAGATAGGCAGACCCCTCCTCTTTTATGATTAAACTAAGTGATCCCTTTTTTTCATTATCGTCCCTCTTCTTTGATGCTAAAAATTTCAATTTAGTTTTATTATTGGTCTCTTCAAGTTCGTTGTCCTTCTGTTTAAGGAATCTCTCCATATCATTCACCACCAGGATCCATTTTCATTTGCATTCTCTTCGTTGAATCTAATGTTTAAGAAATATGGTTTTGAACTTTATGGTTGTTGTATATCTCTGTGGACCCTACCTGTTCAACAACCTTATTCTCAACATTTTAACAAACAGTTATTGGGTGTATAAAATGATATTTTGTAAAGGGAGAAAAGAGAACATACTGTTGGGTTGAGTGGATGATGGTAAGAGGAGATGTGCAGGAATAAGGATGGATGCAATTATGTACTTATAGATCATTGTTTGCCTCTCAAGCTCTTGCTATCAAGTTGCTGTAAAAAGCATTTCCCTAGAGGTTTCATGTAACACCCGCAGATTCGGGCTAGTCAATTAAGATATAATAAACGTTAAAAATGATTTTTTTTTATAGAAAATTATCCGGGATAAATAATCTTAACCAAAGTAATAGTTAGGGTTAACAATTGTAACCTATTTGACGTAATAAAGAATAATTATTTGAATATTATATGTTTCATGATTATTATAATATAAAAAATAGGAAAAATTAGTCGAATCGTCCGTAAATCGTAATTACGTAAAATAAGTGCGCTAAAACATATATATATATATATTATTATATATATATATATATATATATATTATATTTAGGAAGTATACGTCGTCCAGATCCCGAAAATATAAATTTCGTCGAAATCCGAATCCGTATGATTAGATATGATTTTTTATAAGATATAAAAGTCAGCCGCGCCAACGAATGTATGACGTAAAAAGCTACGAAGAGCGATGGTTGACCTTTTAGTTAATTCGACCAAAATGAAAAATCGTAGTACTCCTTAAAATAGGGATTTTGAGAAAAAGAATGCAAAAAACGGAGTCCGTACGAGAGAGTTATGATTTTAGCAAAATCATTTAATTTTATAAAAAAAATGGACAAAATATAAATTCAAAACTAGCCCATGGAGTCTAAACGAAAGTTGTAGATCTCGTCGATAGCTACGCGTGGATATAAAGAACGTCAAAAACGAAGTTCGTATGAACGAGTTATAATTTTTAATAACACATTTACGTATTAAAATAAAGTGTAATCATATATACGTATACCATACATATACATATGATATATCGTTAGAAAGGTATCGACGATGCGGTCGTATAAGACTAGTGTTGAGTACGTTCGACATTAGTTAGTACAAATATCATTAAATCTATTTAAAATAGTATATAAAGGGGTGTTTAGTCATTTATCTAACTATAAGGTCATTAAGTAAACTATGGAGGGTAGTTTTTGAAAATTCAATTCTATAAATAAGAGCTTTGGGCTCTCATATTTCTTGCACCATTCTCTTGATTCAAGAGTCTTTCTCTTCTTATCCCCCGAGCATTTCGGTCTCTCGTGATTCGACTTCTCTTTCTGTAGTTTTAGTATAGTAAGGTGAACGGTGAAGCGCTGCACGAATCTTTCCTAGAAAGATTCAACGACGAAGTTCTGCCACTGCAGAGCTCGACTCCTAGCTAAAACCCCCTTGTAACTAAGTTATGCTTACCCTATTTTAATATAGCTTATATTTAAAAATTAGTATTGTTATTATGAACTTATAATAAATATTGGGCTATTATATGACTTATATACGTGTCGTAATAATATCTTTTTTAACTACTCGCGGTACGGGGAATCTGGTTTAAAGGGCCCCATAGGGTTGTTGGATTTCAGAAGTGCTATATGCCAAATGGTCTGCCCTTCGTGTTTTATGTCTGACCCCTGTCTGTACATAGTGGTTGGAAAATATTGTTTAAACGCTTATATAATAATAATAATAATAATAATAAGACTAATAATTAGTCACGGTAAATATTAGACTAAAATCTAGTGGTAATAATACTAGGTTTCGTCGAAGGAAATTATTTTTAAGAAGCGAAGCACTGTCTGAGTTCGGAATCACCACCTTAACAAGTGAGTGCATAGTTACTTTCATCTTACACATAGATATGAATTATTTTATATAAATTACGTGCTATGTGTGTATACTGTTTGAATACTTGCTGTCTATGCTGGATGAAACGTTTTATACATGTTTTAAATGATCTAAACTGTATATGTATTTTATATCTACAAAATGTGTTGGGTAAAACATGGGTAGATTAGAGGTGAGATAAATGATGAGAGATGAAAGATGAGATAAATGTGAGCGATGATGAAAGATGAGATGAATGATGAGCGATGATATATGAGTGATAAAATATGGTGCGAAGCGAT